CTTTGCAATGCAGAGGAAACACAAAAGCTGCATCTGAAGTGGCATGGAATGCTTTAACCAGCAGTTACAAATGCAAAAATAATATTTTGATATTTTAAACAAAGCGTTGAATACTGATATTTGAAATTTATTTTAAAAAAGGAAGATACTTTAAATGTAAAATTAAAACCATCAGTAATCATGCTGATTTATAGAGAAAAAAACGGCAGTTCTTCATGTGATATTGATTACCTGTGGGAAATTATATAATTTTCTGCCCCATATCTTGAATTTTGTTATCATTCTAAATCCGTTTCAATCAGTCTATGGCTTTTTTGCAATTTTGTTTCGTGTCTTCAAAGTTGCAAAATGTACATACTTCACATTTAACCTTTTTTAATGGCTTCACAGACTGAACAGAACTAAAATATTGATGGGACACCTAATTAAACAGAAGCGAAATGAAAACATATAGGCAGAACATGTAAACACACTAGATTCTTAATTTATGTATTAAGTTAATTTATGTAATTGACCTCATCTGTCATCTCTTTTTCATCTATTAGATCACTTGATGGCTGGAGGTAGATGGTCTTATCTTTGAAAAGTTTGCACAACACGACACCATCAAGACTTCGACCTGCCTCCAAAACTGGCTTGACCAACTTGGTGTAGGTGGCCATCATTATTGTGACCCTTGGGTAAATATCACATGATTATTTATAAGTTTAGACAATATTTTCAAATAATTAAACAACTAAAAATGTATACACTCTTACATTTTTCTAAGGACTGCTCAATTTAATATATTTATTAAAACATAGTTAAGTGATCAGGATCGATTGTATATTTAATGGTTGTTAACTTACTCTGTATTCTTCAGTTTGTTTTGAAATAGGGTCCTCAGGTGTTGCAGAATCTCCTGTGCAGTCCACTCCTTCTGAAACTGCACAGCAGACACTATATATCCATGCTCTGCCAGGAATGTTTTTCTAATGGACCTTGGAACCTTGCAGTCTCTGGGAGATGTAAGCAGGCAAACATCTCGAAGAAAGGGGACATGTTCAGATGTCCTTTTCCTTTTTCCATGCCTTAGTTAACAATTAATGAGGTAATGAGCATTAATGAAGTAATGTTACTCCAATATACTCTGTATATTTCACTATAAAACGTTACATATGTCTAAAATGTAAAAAAAAAAAATTAAAGGTGCCTAATCAAAATAGATGAATTAATATTTCAGATACAGTACATTTAAGAACACTAACACCCTGAAATTTTTTTATTTTAGATATAGGCATGTGATGAAGCATCTGTAAAACTTTGTGGAAACTGATGTATAACTTGTCTTGGACTGAGCCAGCTAGTTGCTGTGTTATAGGCATGCAACTGCATGTAAATTCTTTTAGCTAAATACTGGGCAGTTTATCACCGCTGTCTAGCCAGTGCAGCACTGAAGATAGTCCAGTACAGACTGAAATGTTTTCTTTTTGTTTGTTTGTGTGTGTATGTTCACAGTCACATTTTTTTGTTAGTGCACTTAGATTTTGTTACCACTTCCACGTAAATATTAAGTAATACATTTTTGTTCAAAGGACATTGAACGCTACTGCATCAATTCATGCTTTGACCCAATAAGCTACTCTTTAATTGGTAGAGTGAATGTGAGGAGGCTCTTTAGGTCACTGAAGCAGGCCCTCACTAGTTCTGTCATTGTAGCTTACCCATGTGTGTACTCATCTAACAAATTATTTTAAATTACCTTTTTGGTAAAATTTCTCAGCTAAAATAGCAT